ACTCGCCACGCACCGCCACGCCCAGAAGGATTCATCAGACAACTGTTTCCGCATCTACGAGTACCCCATGAGGCTTCAGACTCTCCAATCAAGAAAGAAGAATCCACAAGACGACCTCCATTCAACTCTCTCCTGCAGAGATCTCGACGTCGATGACGGCACATCCATGAAAACTTCATGGTGAGTTTCTACACATGGTACCACTCCCCATGTTACAACTGTTACTTTTCTCTCCCTCATGCCTTTTGTCATCCAACTGAGGATTTTGACACTCATATCCTGCATTCTACCAGCCCTCTAGGCCTCAACACCCCAAAACTCTGATTCCCACTGGTAGTAGCGCTTTAGACCTTGCTTATTGCGTGTGTATTGGGGTCCGTAGTACCATACTGAATATAGTTAAAAAACATTTTAAAGTTTAAAATTTGTCGAGTGGCCCCCATGGGAGAAAAAAATGTGTCTAAGTGACCCCCGAGGGAATTGAGTTTGAGACCCCTGCTCTAGAACTTAGAGACACTCGGACCTTTCTCCTTCAGGGCATAGTGGCAGTGTCATTGCAAAGGGACCAACCTGACCTAATGATCCTCACCTTGCCAGCCCTCCCACCTTCTGTTGCAGCAGGTACTCAAACCCCAAGGTTCCTTGTTGTCAGTCTCTAGGTGGAATGTCGACGTCACTCTTTTGTGTGACAGTGCTGGGGCCTACAGATTGGCTGCTAGGCCCAAGCACCGTCAGCGGAGGGAAGGTCACATGCTCCCCAATAACTGGGTATTGCTGCTATATGCGATGGGAGGAACGAGGGGCAGGGAATATTATGGTCCAGCACACTGCAGGAGCTTCTTCTTGCAAGATTTGGGACCCTTACATTTGCCAGGATCTTGCTGCAAGGATTGTGGCATGACCTTAACCAGGGTGAAAGCCATGCAAGATACAAATCTTTACTTATCTCCATAGGACCTTTTTAGAGCATGGCATTTCGTTTTCTCCTTAAAAGCCTTAATGAGCCCTCACAATGTATTATTGTAATGTAGTCAGGATGCATATTTAGCAATTATGGGGCTTCTTTTACATGTTTTCCTTCTGCAGCAAGTATTAAAATACTTTCTGCAGCACGTAGGAGAGTTGGACCCTTGCTCTCACACACAAAGCAGCGGTCTGGCTCTTCAGTGGAGCTTTGTGTGAGAGAACAAGGGTCCAACCCTCATATGTGCTACTAGCACATGGTAACAACCCTTGACATAGAAGAAAAAAAGAAGAAAAGGGAAACAAAAGCCCCATAATTACTTTATATGCAGCCTGCCTAAACAATGATAATAAATAACCAGGGTTCAATTGGGCTTAATGATTACCTGTCCTTAAGTATTTTGAAGCTACAATACAACTTTCGGCTCTCCATTTGTATTTGGCACACCAACCTTTTCTAAGCCATAAAGATCAGTTGTGTCTGCCGCTCACAATCTATTGCACATCAATACATTTTTAGGGTGATATATAGCCCTATGATCAGCTAAATGTAGAAGATTTTTCCATTAGGTGTTAGAAGCACAACGTTGAAAACTTACTGATCTCCTCTTCCGACTGCAACCTTACCAGACAGGATTGAAAACATTGCAGTCTCTAGTGTTGTGAAATACCCATGGTGCTCCTGATGGACAGGAGACCATGTATTCTTTACCTAGGCTTTAAGCTGCATGAGGGAGCTCAGAACAGTTCACAGAAAATGCAATTTGGTAATGTCTGAATATGCCCTATAGAGTAACGTGGAGTGTGAATTTTAACAATAGGCATACTTTAGGCAAATTGCTAAATACTAAGCTGCAATACATAACAATGAGCCATGTCACCTGCCAAAGGATTCCCATTTCCTTCTATCCAGTTGTGAGATTTGCACAGCCCCCTTCCACATCAGGAGGACACTGCTTACAGTTTAGAAATACAGTGGTGTTCTCTCCACCCCCAGCTTTCAGACAGTGAAAAAGTAGCAGCAGACTGAGGAGGTCATCCCTCTGCTCCCACCTCCTATCAGCATGTTCCTTTAATCGGCTAACTAATCGATTTTGAAAATAATCGTTAGCTGCAGCTCTAGTGTGCAGCATACCTGATGGACTACAAGTCCTGCCTCTTCCTCTTTAAAAGGTGAACTATGGGGTTAGGGCTTTCCCCATAGTTCTCCTAAGGGTAACCGGAGGACACAAACTAGCGTCCTCCCGTCACCCGAAGCTCAGTATACCGCGAGCTACAGCTCACAGGAAAACTGAGACGCCGCACCTGAAGCGGATCCCCACAATTATGTCTGGATCCGCCCAGCAGCGTGAGTGACAGCTGGCTCTGCCTATCTAGAGGCAGAGCCAGCTGTATCCGCCCCCTCCTGTTCCGCCAGTCAGCGCTGGAGGATCGGAGAGGGGGGAATCCAGTCACGTCTCTCTGCAGTGACAGGATCGAGAAGTGAGCGAACGCCGGTATGTTTTCACTCACTTCCCAATCTACTGAAGCGACCTGTGACAGTTTCATTGTCACAGGTCGGCTAGAACTATGAGGATGAGTGAAAAATCACTCACTTCATAGTTCTCCTTTAAGTGGGAGTGCAGCTACATGTGATTGTAAAAGTCCGATAACTCAATTTTACATACATGTATCTGTAAATGCGGCTAGTGCAAGTATTATTGATTAACCAATGCCTAACTATTCATTTGGGGTATTTTTTACCTGTTTAGCTTTAACACACTGAAAGGAAGTGACCAATGACTATTTAACCGACCTGTTCCTACTCTGTGCTGTTCATACTCTACAATGCTGGATTAGGTTTCCCCTATAATACATATTTAATGGTAACCTTTTAGGGCCTTCAACATACGTCATGTATGTCTTTTGGTGCTGTAATGCCTGCACAGGCAAAAACGATTTAATGGTGGATCAAAGACAATAATAATTTTAAAAAAAGTTTGATGTTTGTGCATTATATAAATCACAGTGTACCTGAAAATAAAATCTCAGTAGTCCTGTAAGAAAGCTTGCTGAATCAGAGAAACATACAATGTAAACTTACATAGGTCAGGGTGACTTTCTTTACCAACTCTACTCCACAGTCATGGTGGAAATAGCCCTTCAGGCACTTCTGGAAGGGTTGAGAGGCTCTGCATCTAGAGAGCTGCTCCCCCTCTCCGGCACTGATGTCAGTCTGGCAGCAGATAGGGAAGCTTTCTATGATCTGCGGGAAGCTTTGTGTGACCTGCAAACACTGTCGACGGAGACAGTGTGGGCCTCTGCCGCTGCCAGGACCTTCACCGATGTCAAGCCAATGGAAGGGGAGCAGCTCTTTGTAAAGCTGCCCACACACCTTACAATTATCTGCAGATTTTCTGTGGTCAGATGGAAAAGGTGCAACAGATTCCTCCATCTACACTTAACTGTGTGGATGGAGTAATCTCCACCTGGGCCAATCTGTTGCACTTTTTCCATCTGACCACAAAAAATATGCAGATAATTGTAATTGTGATGTCAGGAGCCCCGACACTACATTAAATGTTATCTGGGGGGGGAAGGGGAGGGGCAGAGGAGCTGGGCCAAGACACACAGTAGACACTCCCAGTGGAGGAGGTGGGCTCTGATCTGGAAGAAAATTAGAATCCTGAGCTAGGGAATCGACTAGTTAAATTGCAAGTAAATAAAATCTAAAAAAAAAAAAAAAAAAGGCACTCCAAGGGAGCATTTAAACTACTTGATGTGTGCGTGCTTCTACCTCCATATTTTAAAGATGGTGAGTGGATGTCTAAATACCTGATCGTCCAACTCATTAAAGCCTGAGTCATCCACTTCCATGCATGACTTAAAGCCTTGTTTCTGATGAATTAGGCCATGGAGATCTCTAATACTATATAATAGGAGGCCATGGATCGTATACGGCAGCTCCTGCAGGCTGATCAAGGCTTTATTGAGTGTCATCGGGTGAAGGCAGCCATCAGCCTGTGTGAGGAGGCCGGACAACGCGGATGGGGGATGACAAGAGACATGCAGCATGGCGGCGCCGGCTATACTCACGGGGTACTGCGGTCGCTGTACTCATTGGCCACAGTCTCGATCCCTCCGGCTCTGGCCACCGCAACGTAGCAGCTCTGGAAGCCCAGGTCGATGCCCACCACAGACATGACTGCAGCTGGGGACACTGGCAGCGCACAAGACGGGGAGGGGAAACGGCTGAGCGGCCGCACTACACTCCTGCAAGGGGAGATGAATGGAACCCTGGAAGATCTCGAAAGATCTCGCTGTCACAGGAGGAGTAAAAGCAAGACACAGCGCCGGAGGATCTCGCGATAAATTGTGACGTCATAGCCTCGGGTTTACCCGGCCAATCCGCTCCTCCCTGCGCCTGTGTGCAGCCAATGGAAAAGGCGCACGGTGATAGCGTCACCAGAACGGGTGGGCTGCCTTAGGTGACGAATTCCCTCCTCACGCTCCGATTTCCCTTTCAAGGGGAGGGGGTGGGGTCACGCCGCGCAGGGTTGCGTCATGCGTACGTTGATGCAGTTGCTACGGATACTGCAATGTAAGGGTAGGAAGGCCTCTCACTCTAGCTGCGACGTCAGTTGCGCTATAAATAAATGGTGTTCTCTAACGAAGATGGCACTGCTGTTTTCTTTTATTATCTTTATTTTAAAGTCTAACTCCAGTCAAAATATTTGAATTATTTATTTTAGACAGTAAAATCTTTAACAGGAAATCCTGAGGGGGAGATTTCTTCTCAAATCCTATATGTAATGTCATCAAGGCAAGAAGAGGGGGGGGGGGGGATTTATCAAAAAACAGGAGCAGACAAAATCTGCTCATGGCAACCGATCAGCTTCTCTCTTCAGTTTGTTTAGTTAAGATTTGAAAATGAGAGAGTGAAGCTGATTGGTTGCCATGCACAGCTGCTTCAGATTTTGTCTGCTGCAGTTTTGATAAATTCCCCTCAGGAAGTATTAAAAACATTGTCAGGATGTCTAAGCTTTCCACCATTAAAATTGTGTTTCCTAGGGATGCACCGATACTGGTATCGATATCGGTGCCGACACCGAGTATTTGGGCGAGTACTCGTACTCCTAAATGCTCCGATGCCTAGCCCGATACTTCCTGTATCAGGAAGCCGGGCAGCGCATCATTACACGCTGCTCGTTTGCCTGATTGGCCGGGAAGTGGCTCCATGCTCCCTCGTCATGGGATGAAGAGGCCAATTAGGCGCACGGCTTCCTAATTGGCCAGCGTCCTGACCAATCGGGAAGCCGGGCAGCTTGTAATGACGCGCTGCCCGGCTTCCCGATTGGTCAGGACGCTGGCCAATTAGGAAGCCGTGCGCCTAATTGGCCTCTTCATCCCATGACGAGGGAGCATGGAGACGGCCAATCAGAAAGCAGGGTGCCGCGTCATGATTAGCCAGCAAGATGGCTCTGGCTGGGTACCGGAGGAAGGCCGCTCCTGGCTGGACATGCTGAGGTGAGAGGGGACAGACTTTCTTGTTAATCAGGAAGCCAGGTAGCGAGTCATTACACGCCACCTGGCTTCCTGAATGGGATTCCGGTACTCGGTAATTGGTATCGGCGAGTACCGAAAAAAAATGATCGGTACCAAAATATCGGTATCAGTGCATCTCTAGTGTTTTCGTCAGTGTCTCCTTTAAAGAGATTAGCTATCACTTCTGTAACTTCCTGCCCTAACAGGAAGTGAAGAGAAAGCACCCCATTGGGGGCAAAGAGGGTAATAAATACCTGACAAAGGCTTTGAACTTTTTCCACTCTATCTGAAACTATGTGAAATACTTTGACTGAAACTGGGATAAAGGGCGCATGCATATATCCATAAAAAAACACGACGCTTTGATCAGAGCAGCGTTTCAGTTCTTTTTTTTCATTGATCTGAATGCAGGTGTTCTGTTTTCTATAGGCACATTCATACAGCTGTGTACAGATCAGTAAACGTACAATCAAAATCAGATAATCTGCATCTGAGGCCATTAAAGTGACACTAAACTCTGGAGTTAAACCTTAAAAACGTATTCAAGTACCTAAACTACTAACAAAACTGAGGGGAATTTATCAACACTGGAGCAGACAAAATCTGGCGCAGTTTCCCATGGCAACCAATCAGCTTCTCTCTTTCATTTTCAAATCTTAACTGAAGAGAGAAGCTGATTGGCAACTGCTCCAGATTCTGTCTGCTCCAGTTTTGATAAATTCCCGTTTTCAGATAAGCACCTGTTGTCCTTGCAATGTGCAATACTTACATGTATATTTCATGTGTATGACAAACTCTGTGTGGTTTTCTTTTGTCGTTTATCTTCTTCATATGTTTGAAAAACAAATTAAAATTAAATTGAGGGGAGTTTATGAAAACTGGTGCAAACTGAATCTGGCAACCAATCAGGTTCTCTTTTCAGTTTGGTCAGTTAAGATTTGAAATGTAAAGAGATTTCTGCCTGCTCCAGTTTTAAAAACCCCTACCCCCCCACCCCCCTCCATGGACTTTATTCAGGTTTTTTTAACCCGAATAACTGTGTAACTATTATACATGAAACCTGAATATCAGAAATGTAAACTCACTACACATGTTACAATCTGATTGTATAATATGCTTCACATCTACCAGCAACTATATAGTGCAAGGGCCTGCATGATTGTATACAAATTGATTGAATAGATTAGTTAGGTCATCATATTACCTAGCTTTGGTATATCTAAGATTGATTGTACAAAGATTGTGTGGTCAGATTGTAACATTTGTGGGGAGCCTTACTCTATAGTTTAGTAGCACTTACTCGCACATTCCCAGCACAGTGACCAAGCTGTCACCAACAGCTTCCAGTGCACTGTTTTTGACCGGGAGCCAGTGTGATGGGCTCCCCATCATGTGACCACTGTGACAGCCAATCACAGTGATCATATTATCGGGAAGTCAGTTGCAACTCCCAGAAGTTAGAACCTCTTAGAGGGCCAGCGCTAAGGGAATAAGATTGGATTCAGAGGATGGGAGAGACTCTAGAGAAGTCCCGGAGGCGAGCATGGGAGGAGTTGACAAGGGAGCTGGAAAGCAGGAGGTCTTGGGATAAGCGGAGCGGACGGTTTGGGTGATACTTTGAGACAAGGTTTGAGATGTAACCGGGGGCAGAGTTGTGGATAGTTTTGTAAGTCGTTGTTAATATTTTGAATTTTATCCTCTGGGCGAGTGGAAGCCAGTGGAGGGATTGGCAGAGGGGGGATGCAGACACTGAGCGGTTGGTTAGGTGGATGAGTCTAGCAGCTGCATTCATGATAGACTGAAGGGGGGGTAACCTGTGTAGAGGTAGGCCAATGAGGAGGGAGTTACAATAGTCAAGACGAGAGATAACAAGTGAGTGGATGAGTAATTTAGCGGTTTCATTGGCGAGGAAGGGGCGTATTTTGGAGATGTTGCGAAGGTGGAGGCAGCATGATTTGGATAGTGATTGGATGTGGGGGAGAAAGGTGAGGTCCGAGTCAAGGATGACACCTAGGACCTTGGCATGGGGGGAGGGCTGGATAGTTGTGTTATCAATCTCAAGGGAAAAGTTGGGGGAAGGTGCACAGGTGGGAGGAAATATCATGAGCTCAGTTTTTGAAAGGTTGAGTTTTAAGAAGTGTTGCGACATCCAGATAGATATGTCAGTTAGTAGATTAGTGACACGCAAGGGCACTGAGGGGGAGAGTTGCGGAGTAGAGAGATAGATTTGAGTGTCATCGGCATAGAGATGGTATTGGAAGCCATGTGTGGTTATTAACTGACCAAGTGAGGAAGTGTAAATGGAAAAGAGGAGGGGTCCAAGGACAGAGCCTTGGGGGACCCCTGCAGAAAGAGGAAGAGGAGGGGAGGAGTTAGATTTGTAGGTGACACTCAGGCCCCATTCACACTGAGCGATTTATCGAGCGATTTTTGCAGCGATATCGCTCATATTTCCACACGATATCGCTCTATGTAGCTTCTCCAATCCATTTCAATGGAGCTGTTCACATCTCGTCGCTCAATATCGTCGCTTGTAGCTCGTCGCTGTAGCTTGTCGCTCCTACATGACCCTTTTTCGAGAGATTTCGAGCGATTTTGCTCCTGATTACATACAGCCCAATAGGAAAAAGTAATGCGACAAGTCGCTCAATATCGCGCAATTTTCATGTCGCTCAGTGTGAATGGGGCCTCAAGGAGCGCTTAGATAGGTAGGAGGAGAACCATGAGAGAGCAGAGTCTTGTAGGCCAAGCAAGTGGAGTTTTTTGAGGAGGAGCGGGTGGTCAACAGTGTCAAAAGCAGCAGAAAGGTCTAATAGCAAGAGTAAGGAGTAGTGACCATTGTGTTGAGCTGTTAGTAAGTCATTGGTGAGTTTTAGGAGGGCGGTTGTTATCAGCGGGGCTGTAGATAAGGTTTTTCAGGAGTATGGAGATGAATGGGAATAAGGAGATTGGTGTGAGATTGTTGAGGTTGGTAGGGTCCAGTGAAGGTATGTTGGGTATTGGGGTGACTAGCGCATGCTTTAGAGGGGAGGGAAAGATGCCAGTAGTGAGTGAAAGATTGAAAATGTGAGTAAGAGAGTGCAGGATAGAGTAAGAGGGTGGCCCAGGGGGGCAAGTGGTGAGGTGGGTGTCAGAGAAAAGCTTTGTAACCTCCTCTGTGGTGACCGGGTCAAAAGAGGAAAGTAACAAGTGTGATGGTTGGTCTGGTACATGAATAGGGGAAGATGACTGGACAGTGGCGATCTGATCCCTGAATTGCATCTATTTTGTTTTTGAAATGAATGGCAATGTCCTGGGCAGTGAGTGAGTTAGTGGGCGGTGGCGGTGGAGGATATAGTAGAGAGTTAAAAGTAGAAAAGAGTTGACGAGGTCTGGATGAGAGTGTGTTAATAGGAGTGACAACATAAGTCTGTTTGGCATCGCGGAGGAAGGAACTATATTTGAGGAGGGCAGCTTTATACAGGTTGAAGTCTTGCAGAAGCCTAGTTTTCCGTCACAGTTTTTCAAGAGCGCGTCTTTCTAGATGTCGGGTTCTTTAGTTTGCCACGGTATCATAGTTATAGTTATGGGGCGTTGAATTTATTCAGAAATTTGTACCTGCGATCTGGCTGGACTAAAACAGGAAACAGACGTCTTGTGTAATAAAAAGTGTGGTTTGGAAACAAATGTATATAGCAAATAAATTCTTGATCAAAGTAACAGGACTGTAAAATCATTGAGTTTAGGTTTTTGATAATTTTTTTAGGGTGACCATACACTGTGAAATGTGTGCCACTGTCTGCACCCTTTCTGTCGGCATCCCTCATCCAGCTGATCGAAGGAGCTGGCCGGAAAATCTTCATACGATCAATACAAACAGCGGG